GAAGACACCCCATTACTTCAGTTATATCCACTGTGCCTGTTTTTCTTTTCTTTGGAGAACAGGTTTCACTATGTGGTCAAGGCTAGCTTTGAACTCACAACCTCTCCCCGCACCTCTGTCTCTTGAATGCTGGCATGACAGGCTGCCATCAGCATTCCCAGGTGTAGAGTGGACCCCTCACTGCTGGTGTCTGGGTCTTTCAGGCAAAGCTACTTGGTCATCTTACTGGGTCTTTGGTCCTCTTCTCTAGGATAATAGATATTCTGTGTATAGGACAGTGCTCAGTACCCCTCAAACCCCTCTATTGCCACGCTGGCTGAGAAGTCCATCCTCAAATCTCTGATGCCATGTTCTCTAGCCTGAGCTGCACCCCTCTAACACCCCTCTAACTAGGAGTTCAAGGTGAATTTTTACAAATTGCCACATTAAACAAGGTGGACGGCATGAGAAGTGGTCACAGCCCTGCCCTTGCTCAGACTTTGGCGGGGACTTCCAGTTATTTCCAGAAGAGTCAGGAACGCTTCTGCTCCTTCCCCAAACTTCCCCTCCAGCCGAACTCAAAGACTACCACCAACAGGGAATTACAAACTTCAGTGGCAAATTAGCAAAGCAGGCTGGCAGTTTCAAAATACTGCATTTTGAGTGTACATTAAGCACATAAGAACATTCCTCTTATCTTTCCTGACACACAGGAACATCTTAGTTAATTTCTACCTGCTGTTTATAATAAGGACTCAGATGGCCGAGGCAGGAGGATGGCAAGGTATAGAACTGGGCAGTCTATCAAGTGAGTTAAAGCTTAGAGAGGGCAACTTAGTGAGACCTCATCTAAAATTTTTTTAAAGAATAGGGGAGGGTCTGGGTGGCTCAGAGGTCAAGAGTAGGTAATGCTTTTGCAAGAGGACCCAGGTTCAATTTCCAAGACCCATGTTGGGAAACCCGCAACTGCCTGTAATTCCAGTTTCAGGGGGTCTGACACTTTCTTCTGAACTCTGTAGGTACCTGCCCTCATGTGCACATACCCACACACATATACACATAATTAAGATAATAAAAACAAATCCTAGAAAAACTTGAGAGAATGCAGCTCAGGGATGTAGCTCAATGGCCAAGCACCTGGGTAGTGCATATAAGGCCATGGGTCATCAGAGCTCCACAAAAACAAAACTAAACAACATTTGCTGTTACAACAGTAACAACAAATGGATCCAGTAACAACAAATGGATACAAAATGGATATAAATGCATATAAATGGATAAAAAAACCCTAATGGATACAAAAAGATTTATCTTCTGTCCTAACTGTAAAACTAAAACCGACAGCATTGGTGGGCTAACAAACGGCAAAGGACACTCTGTCTTCCTGAGATGGTGACACTAGCCGGTGATAGAGACTGTTGCAAAGTGGACAGTCTATGTGAGGAGAGTGGCTTACACAGACTGCTGTGCCCCTGTGTTGCTTTGAATAAGAGCGGCGCCCCACAGGCTCATATATTTGAACGCTTAGTCACCAGGGAGTGGAACTTTTAAAAGATTAGAAGGATCAGGAGGTGTGGCCTTGTTGGAGGAATTATGTCACTGAGGTTGGGCTTTGAGGTTTCAAAAGCCTATGCCAGGCCCAGAGTCTAGCACTCTCTGTCTATGGCTCAGGATGAAGCTCTTCAGTGCCTGCCTGCATGCTGCATGCTCCCCACCATGATGATAAAGGACTAAACCAGTGAAACCATAAGCAAGCCCTGCCCCAGTTAAATGCTTTTGTTCATAAAAGTTGACTTAGTAATGATGTCTCTTCAAGCAACAGACACTGACTAAGACACCCCCTAATAAGATAGGCTCACATATGGTTAGATGTTGTATACATTTCCAAGAAGAAATGTCAGTATTTCTGTGTAAAACTTTGCAGCAATCACAAAAAATCAAAAATCAGACTCATCTCTTAGGAAAACAGATTGTACACCCAACAAACTGGGCCTGAGCCTGGATCTGGCTGGAGGTACCACTTCCTGCCTGTCTTTGTCTTGAGAGGGTTATCAGTGCACAGGACTTCATTCTTTTTTTTTTTTTTAAGAAACGAACTATAAACCAGTGTAGTGGTACACATTTTGCAAACCAAGCAATTGGGAGGCAGAGGCCAGAGGCTTACAAGTTCAAAACCAGCCTGGGCTATACAAGGCCCTTTCTCAAAAAAAAAGCCAAGGGCTGGTGATACACATCAGTGTACAGAACTTTGTGCTTGTGTGCCAAGGCCCTCGTTCCATTCTCAGGACCTTCCTCCCCTACAACAAAAAGAAATTATGAAGGAATTTTTAAAGACCACAGTTGTTTGTTTTATTTTTCAGTGACCAAGAGTTTCTGGTGTTCCAGTACGGCCTTGGTTTGTTTGTTCTTTAATTCTTAATTTTTTTTTTTTTTTTACAATTTATTCATTGTAAAAAAAAAGCCCCCTCCCTCAACTTCTCAGCTCCTCCCAGTCCTCTCTCCCTCCCTCTTCCCCCTATCTGCTTCCCCTAGTCCACTGAAAGGGTGAGTTTTGCTTGCAGGCATGGATCCCAGCCTCCTTCTTGCTAAGCACATGCTCAACTACTGAGCCCATGCCAGCTCCAATGTGGCCTTGATTTCTGAGGACAGTTTAGTGATGTTCATCTACAAACATTTCTGGGTGTAGAAGAGTCAGCCAGTGGGATTGTGGAATCCCCCCCCCCGCCTCCTGATAGCCATCAGTAGCCAAGGGAAGCCATTTCCACCATGGCTCAGGCTTGATTCACCCTCCTCTGAAGCCTTGGAGAAAGGCTTGGAGTCCTGGCTAAGATGGACTGAAAGGCTCCATTTGTGTGCAGGTGCCAAGGCAAGGGGGTACGGGTCCCCCTTTTCCGGACCCCCCGTGAGCCACCCTCCCTCCTGCTGCCGTGGGGTGAGGGCATTTGGTAGGAAACATGGGTTCTTTCCAAGGGTCACTCTAGTCTGGCCCATCAGCTGTTCGGGCAAAAGAGAAGTGGCTGCTGATCTCCAGCCAAACCAAGGCCGTCTTCGAAAGGGCTGGTGACTCAGCTGTCAGCACACGTCTCAGCTGATTGGCAAGGACTGAAGCACTTGGTAACAGATGGAGCTGGCGAGGCTGTGGGCAAACAGCCCCACCCGCTCCCCCCCCACCACTTAGCTGGTAAGATGGCTACAGCCGCTGGGTTGTAAATGTAAATGGCTTTTTGAGTCAACTTTAACACTTCTAGGAATGTTTTGTACTGATAAAGTCTGCTGCTCATGTGCCAAAAGAGGTATTTATACAATGCTACATGGGCCAGCACTGTCACATCCAGAGTGGCAAAAACCCATGTCCATCATGAGGGACTTATTCAATAGAGGATGGCCTAGCCTTACACTGGAATATTACACAGTTTTGAAAAAGAACCAGGCCCTCTGGATCTGCTAATTTTATGTCAACTTGACACAAGCTAGAGTCACTTTGGAAGAAGAAACCTCAATTAAGAAAATATCCCCGAGTCTACCGTAGAAGGCATCTGAAAGACTCTACCTAGCAGTGTTTTAAAGCAGATACTAAGACTCATAACCAAACCTTCGGCAGAGTACAGGGAATCATATGAAAGAAGGGGAGTTAGTATGATGTGGAAAGGATAGGAGTTCTACAGGGACCAAATATATCTGGGCACAGGGGTCTTTTCTGAGACTGACACTCAACCAAGGACCATGTATGGATATAACTTAGAACCTCTGCTTGGATGTAGCCTGTGGTAGCTCAGTAACCAATTGGTTTCCCATAGTAAGGAGAACAAGGACTATTTCTAACAGGAACTCAATGGCAGGCTCTTTGACCTCCCTACCACCCAAGGGAGGAGCAGTCCTGTTAGGCCACAGTGGAGGACTTTGCAGCCAGTCCTGAAGATACCTGATAAAACAGGGTCAGATGAAAGGGGAGGAGGTCCTCCCCTATTAGTGGACTTGGAAAGGGGCAGGGAGGATATGAAGGAGGGAGGGTGTAATTGGGAGGGAATGAGGGAGCGGGATACAGCTGGGATACAGAGTTAACAAAATGTAACTAATAAGAAAAATAATAAAAAGGAAAAAACAAAAAAAGAAAACTATCAGGCTGCTCTCTCTTGCAATTCCCCATAAAATACCTTTTATGTACTTTTGCATGTTTCAAAAATATAAACTACATATAAAGAGAAAAAAAAAAAAAAGAAAATATCCCCACTGGATTGGCCGCAGGCAAGCCTGTGGTGAATTTTCTTGATAGATGATTAATGTGGGAGGGCTTAGCCATCCACATTAATTAATGTGGGCGATGCCATCCCTAGGCTGGTGGTCCTGGGTTCTATAAGAAAGCAGGCTGAGCAAACAATGGGGAGCAAGCTAGCAAGCAGCACCCTCCATGGCCTCTGCATCAGCTCCTGCCTCCAGGTTCCTGCCTTGTGTTCCCTCCCTGACTTCCTTCGGTGATGGACTGTTACCTGGAAGTGTAAAGTGAAACAAACCCTTTCCTGCCCAAGTAGCTTTTTGTTCTGGTGTTTTTCACTTCAGTAGAACAGCTGACTAAAATACCCCCTTTACCTTCTCGGTGGGACTTATCTTCTAGATATGCTAATACATGAAGAGGCAAATCCAGATGCAGACACACTTTCATTTGTACAAAGGCATGAAAATAACACGGGTGACATTTGTCTGTTCATACCTAAGAAGTTAGAACACATGTACACATGCCAACAACAACAACAAAAATTAGCCTGGATACTTGGTACCTTTAGACCATAGAACACGAGTGTCCTTCCTGGTAGGAACAAGAATCTAAAAATGTTTAAAAATGGCAAGTTTCCAAACACTTGCACGCATGACACATCTAGACTGAAGCATACTCTCGAACCCCAGACCCCAGACCTTTACCTTAGCATCCAGGTCATGGTTTTGGGATCTTATGCTTCCCCCTTCTCACTTACCCCTCCCCCCAAAAGTGTGGTAACTCGGTGCCCTGCTAGCATCTCACTTACCTGTTCCTTCTCTGAATACGGGTTGTTGAGGACCACAGGGACGTTGCCTTTCCCCCACAGGTCATTGAAGACGCGGTCATTCTCCCCGCCCAGGGGCAGAGCTTTGTGCGGTTTGCCATCGAGGTCTCTGGAAAGCAAGGTAGGTCGGATGAGGAAGGGTGACAGCAGGATTGTGGCCTTGATCTGGCCGTCCCCAATCTGTACAGAACCCCAAGCCTCTTTGTGTAGCCTGTGGGCCCACAAATCTTCATCAGGAAGCTCTCCCACTCCACATAAAAGCACACCAGTGCCACAAGGAAAGCAGTTCTGGGATCATGTGCAAAGCTCAGTGTCTGTGGCTTTGGCATGGCTGCCACACAGACTTCATCACCCCTGCAAGCCGAGGTCTATCATCATCACCATCATCAGGTCTATACTGTACCCGCCCAGGACAGTTAGTGAGGAGAAAGGTAGGGCATGGGATGGGTTGGCAAGGCTTTGGGCTTCTTAAAACACACACACACACACACACACACACACACACACACACACACACACACACAC